TGATAACACTTATTCACGATCTTTGGCCTGTATTTTAAGAGAAGATCACGCAATTGTATGCACTACGTACATATGTGTTTGTGGGAATGTGTGTGTGTGATGTGCGTGTGTGTGTGCTTGCATGCACCTCTACTTGAGTGTAGCGCAAGTCGAATTGAAAGCCTCGTTTCCTACTACAAATCTATTGATGGAATAATGTCATTAGATTACTTACCGTTGCGTAAGAAGTAGTAGTCGTAGTAGTAGTAGCAGCAGCAGCAGTTGTTCTAGTAGTATTAGTAGTAGTTGTAGTAGTTGTGATAGTAGTAGTAGTAGTAGTTTTAGTAGTAGTGCTTTTATACAAACTAATAACAGATTCAACCGTAGGCTTTTTAGCATAATATTATTTTTGCAACCATTCGTTCATCCATTTCTTAGTTCTTTCAATCTTTCATTCATTCATTCGTCCATTCAATCAATCATTCATTCATTTATTTGTTCGTTCGTTTATCTTTACATTCAGTCCATCTCATTTCATTCGTTTTTATTCGTCCATCCATCGATCACCGCCCAGTCAATCACCTCAATAATTTTCATTGACCACAAATGGCCCCCATGAGACCGCCACCTATCGATCAAATTTCTTTTCACTCCATTTATTCATTCCTTCATTCATTCCTTCATTCATTATCATTCGTTCGTTCGTTTGTTCATTTATTCGTTTGTACTTTCGTCTGATGGTTCCATCATCTTTTAATTCATTTTTTTTAAATCGTTTATTCGTTTTTTCATTCACTTTTTCACTCAATCAATCACACTTTCACTCATTCACTCACTCACTCATTCACTCACACATTCATTCACTCTTTAATTCATTCATTCAAAAACACTCAACAAAATAATGACGGTCTTAATGCGATCATTTGGGATGCATTATTCCAAAGCAAGCAGTATCGTTATTATCAGGTACCGGCCTCTATCGAAATATCGAAATTACGCCCACATCTCTCTATATACTTATTCGTATCTATTCGGTTTTTTGGTACGTTTCTTGTTTTTTTTCTCATCATACATTTTGTATGTTTTCCTATGCGAAACTGTGTTTTTATGTAGGAAATGTAATTTTAAAAGGCCAGCCTCGCGTTTCCAAACTTGTTTTCAAGTTTTTTCACTTAATCTTCACATTTTCATTGACGAATTTTGTTTTTTTTTATCTTAAAACTATTTAGAAATTAAATTAAATTAACTTTATAACATCAAACCCGCCACAGAAAGGCCCCACACATTTCCCATTATCTGTGCCAATCAATTAAATTTCAACAACCTCGAAAAATTAGTAAAAACGTTGAAAAACACAAATGTTCATATTAATGAAAAGGTATAACATTATAAAAATTATATTTTCTATAAGGTTAGATGCAAACTTTTGAACTGATATTCTAGGCATATGAGATTTACTGTTTTGTATTTAAAAGGGTACAACCCTATTTTTTAATGTTTCGTCTAATTCACTTTTCGTAACTAGAAATAAATTTCAGAATTTTTAATTTAATTTAATATTTAACTAAAAAATTGAACCGATTTATTAAACAAATCAATCATTAACTACAAAAATAAGTATCTAAATAGTTTTTTTCAATTTTAATAAAAATAATGTTTGGTTATGTTGTAGAACTTGCCGTTTCGAGCGCCATTGTTTTAGGTGGAGTTCTGCCATACGTACCCCAGTATCTGGATATTCAGAAAAGTAGGAATTCAGAAGGTTTTTCAACTCTTGTCTGCCTCACTCTTCTCATTGCCAATGTTCTTAGAATTTTATTCTGGTGAGATTTTTGAATTTAATTTTTTTTGCCAATTTACTTACACTAAATCTTTCATTATACCAGTATCAGTACCAGTATCATTATACCAGTATCTTTCATTTAGGTTCGGCCACCCATTTGAGACACCGCTTCTAGTTCAGAGTGTTTTGATGAACATTGTAATGCTGGCTCTGG